AGAATTTTATTTGTGAGACCAACTTTTCTCTACTTTTCCATCCTTTTTTACCTTCTGCACTATTTCTTGTTTTACAAGCACACTACAAATTATAATGATAATAAAAAGCTTTTAGAAGAGACTGCACCATTTATTTGGCGTTTTGTTACAGTAATTAAATAAAATCTGCAGTAAAATCCCATACATATGCAAATATAGATAAGAAGAAAGTTATAAAAAAACAGTTAATAAAAATTTGTAAAACAATTGAAATAATCATTCCTAGTTTATTGATAGTGTTAAGACATCAATTGACATGATGATCATAAGCCTTCAAACTACTCTTTATTATCAAATTTGTTTAATAATTCTGCATTTTAATTGTATTTACTCGAATTGCAAGATTGCTATTAGAACTATAGAAATAAAACTAGTTAGTAGTCGCGTAGTTCATAAATGTTTGAAAAATAAAATATAAGTTTAGCGATTATTTCACTTTATTTTGTATTTCCATTTAATATCTGTCATTCTCTCTCTCACTCTCACCCTCTCTCTCTCACTTTCTCTCTCACTGTCTCTCTCTCACTCACTCTCTCTCTCTCTCTCTCTCTCTCTCTCTCTCTCTCTCTCTCTCTTTGTCTCTCTCTCTCTCCGTCTCTGTAGAGCTTCTATAATATTTGTTATGTAGTACCAGTGTTCAATGTATTTGTAGAACAAGAGAATAAAAACAATATATATTTCCCACATTATTGAATTGCTCGATTTTTAAATGTTTAACAAAAAGCACGTTTTCTAAGCAGATTTTTGTGCTAATTTGTCAATCCTCCATTATTTTACATATACGATTTAATTTATAATTACGATTTTCGATTTAATAATATTCATGTATGTAAACAATGAACTTTAATTTATGAACATAATGTATAATACCATGGGAAAGACTTCTCGGAATCATCACTTTCAATAAATCATGAGCAAGAAATGAGTTACGTGTTTCACCCGGTAGTAAAATATTAAAAAATTAGATTGACAGGGATCAAAGAGGAGGTAATTAATTATATATTATTCCCTCGCCATCCACCTACACGTTTACCCAACAACATCCATTTTCCTCGACAATGTCACGGCAACAAATGACTTTCCATGCTCGGCTGCTCACAAATTTCCTCGCCCCCCTGACGCCGCTTATCGTGTTTCGTGCGCACTGGAAATGCCCTTTTTAGGGCCTAATTGTATTTGCCTTATTGGGAGACAAGCTGTTATTTTCTCTTCACTCACCTCCTCCCACTGACGGTGTTTTTCTTATGAATAAGCAATTCGTCGTAAAAATCTATTCTTTTTTCCTCCTTTGAAACTTATATTATAAAGATAATTGAGTTGAATTGCTTTACAATCAATGAATTGATAACCTAATAAGTTGTATAACTAATTGAACAAACAATTACTAATTTTATAACATAGATTTTTTAAATAATAAATCGTTTACAAATGTGTATTCGGAATTTTTCTTATGCTATTTATAATTTATAATTTGCTTAATCTGTATTATGTACTATGTTTGTATCGCTCCCTTACCCATCCACCATATTACAAACTCTCTCATTCCCTCTCCCTCTCTCTTTCTCGCTTTTTCTTTTCTATTTTTATTTGATATTACAAAGTATACATTTTTCACGGATTTTCCGTGTTCATAATTTGGTAATTTTCTGTAGTTTGGTCGTTGCCAGTCAACCTGGTTGATTGCTTCTTTTATTTATCCTACATGTTTTACAGTATTTCACCATGGTCATTGGTTGATCTATGTGTGACTTTGTCAATGCTGTTCTTTTATACTGTGGTGAAATGCCAAAAAGCATTTGACAGATCTAGGGTCGTCGATAAACAAGATATGAATCATTGGAAGAAACAAGACAGCATATTAGTTTACTCATCTAAAAGATTTCTTAAGGTTTTTGTCAATGTTTTTAAAAAACTGTTTTTATAAATTTGGTCTTTGATCTGATTTGAATATTAAAACACCCCAAGGAGAAGCGGAGAAAAAATTAGGGGAAACTTGGCGATTAATATTCAACGTTCTGGACGGTACCCTAACACAGGATTATATTCAATTTAAATTTGCGTTTGCCGCGAATGTTTTCTGTCCCATGCAAAGCGTTTAATCAGAAGAAGCTTCAATGGAAAATGTGAGATTTCTTGGGATCGGAGGTGGGAGACGTTATGGCCCCAGTATCCCGGACACATAATGGGACCTAAGAGCCCCCGCGACCTACCAAGAGATTCATTTTCCAAATTGCTTCCTGTTCCGGCTGCTTCTACAGTGTGACGTCACACACAATTACCACCCCCTTGCACCCTTCTTCAAACCCTTAAACAGTCTTTTGACTCCGATGTTAAATCAGGGGTTTTTTCTCACTCATTTTTTTTATCTTCTAATACCATCGTTTTTATGATTATTGCCATGTTTGTATGTCGAACAGGGTGGGGCTGATTCCAGTTTTTAAGGGGATGCTTGCGGAAACATCTCTTATCTCGAGGGGGTCGTATTTTAAATTTTCATTTTTACTCTTTTAAAACTGCCCTCGTGGAGTTAATTTAAATTTTCTTCCGTCTTTTGATTGTATGCCTCTTATCGTATTTTAATTTTTGATGGAACCAGAGATGAGAAGTTTATCTTTAACTTTAGAAAGGACGAACATTGACTAATACGTTGCGCTTTGACTAATAAAACATTATCATTTTTCCTATATCCTTCATATAATGCGCTACCAAAACATGTGGGAAAAATCGCAAAATAATCTTGAGCGATAAGAAAGATATACATGGATAGCTATGTAAATATTGTGAGATAGTCAGAACAACATAGAGTCTGTGAAATTTATCTGTGTAGTGTGCAGAATGATGGACTTGTAATTTGGGTTAACACATCTGTGAACACAGACCCATCACTGAAGATGGCGAAAAACGGTAAAAAATTGATGGATAAATGAGAGAGAGATAGAGTGGAATGGAAGGAGGGAGAAAGATAGAGAGAATTAATGAATGAATGTCGTTTTATTGGAAAAATCTCGCAAACAGAGAGAGAGGAGAAAGGGAGAGAGAGAGAGAGAGAGAGAGAAAGGGAGAAAGGGAGAGAGAGAATGAGAGAGAGACAGAGAGAGTGAGAGCGAGAGAGAGAGAGAGAGAGAGAGAGAGCGAGAGAGGTTAACAATGATGATAACAATAAGTTTGCAATGAGTGTAATTTTGTAGGCTTACTAAAAATATTTAAAGTGAAATCATTGCTACTGATTTTTATAAAACAGGATTTAGAAAAGGATAATTTCAAGACTTGACTGCCTACGAAAAATAATATACGGGTATATTCCAGCAAAAATTAGTTGACAAATAAAAACACTAAATAAACGAACCTTAACGAAACCATTGATTTGTAAGCGGGCCGGTGTAGCGACGGTTGATAGCGAACTGTTTCTGATTTTTCTCAGTCTTCTACTACATTTTAGACCCGGTTTGTTCCCCGATGCCCAATCGACCTGTCAGAAATACTGTAAACATTTTACTACGGCCAGTTTCGTTGGATCTACTCCTCCATTCTTAGGTAAAAAACATGAAGAAAAACCGAGCGAGTGAGAGAGAACCTACTCGCACTCCGCGGAACGCGAGGCTAATGTATAGACCAAAGAAAATTCCAGTAAAATCAAAACGGGTGGATTATCCCGTTATATGCTATTACGAACACAAATGAGACGGTCGAAAGCGGCGTTTTCTCACAAAAAGGATATTTACAGGAAAAAAGGTTGAATATGGGATGGGACGGTGAAAAAAGAGTAATAATAATCCCTCGACATTAATATCGTCATCTTTCTAATATAAATATATATAATTATGTAGTAATATTTCCTAATATGTTAATTATATAAAAAAGCTATATAAAATTTAATATAATTTAAATAAACTGTAAATTATAATATTATGTTTATTTAATCTAATAAGAGAAGTGGCTGTTCATTTAAGATTGGTATAACTATCAATAATCTTTATGTAAGGTATTGGTTGAAATAAAAAAGTCAGTGTCACGAGCGGGATTCGAACCCACGACATTTGGCTAAATACGCCGCTGCTCTACCACTTCAGCTATCATGACTTTTTATCCCAACCAATACCTTACATAAAGATTAATTAATCGAAAGAAGTTATTTGGTCCATCAGACCGCTAACCCTAATGGATAAATTTTAATAAGTTTTACGTGCTTCATTAAGAGTTAACTAAAGAGTGAACCACAGACTGAGTAAAGACTGTCAAATGAAAATATGCGTTTAAGAAGGTTTCATAGGTTTCCAATGAATATTTCATTCATTGTTCGTAATTAAAATAATAACTGATTTTTCTAAATTTCAATATACTTAAAAAGTCCATTGTATTTTGTGGTCCGATTGGAAAAGGAAAAGGAGAGAAAATTCAGAAGATGGGGGGGTTGAGATGTGAAGTTAGTGCCCGAGTGGATCGAAGTCACGATAGCTCAAGTGGTAGAGCAGCGGCGGATTTAGCCGAAGGCCGTGGGTTCGAACCCTGCTCGTGACACTCTTTTCATTTCAACCACAACATTAAATAAAAATTAATTAATTGAAAGAAATTCTTAAAAAGGATGAGTTGGGAGAAAATCTGTTTAAAAGTGGCTTTAATGGAAACGATTATAATTTTATCATGCTTTCACAAAATCTTTATCATTTCTTTCTCAGTATAACTTGTTTCTTCCTTTCTGATTCTTTCGTGAACACTTTCATTATAGCAACAGAAGCAACTAACACATGGTAATTAACCTGAATACAAACATTAAAGGCGTTTAAAAAATATAGTAGCACAACCATTAAATGATTCCACAACATGGTTATGTAGACTGGGCTATTATTTGCGAAAGAAATTTGCATCACAAAGATTTTTGACTGTAAGACCCTGAACGCGATTAATACAGTTTCCTTGAACTCGCCTAATATTTTCAGATTGAGGAATGAAATAGTACTGACCTTTCATATTTGGACCCTCGCAGTATCGCTTTTTACACCTACAAAAAAAGTAAAGTTAAACGAAAGCTATATAAAAGGTATAAAATTTTTGTGTATTTGACTAAATTTTGTAAGTTGAAGTAGGTTTACGTTTCCTTTACGTACGGATATTTGTCAAAATTTATAAATTAATTAATAAAAGTTTATTAGTACGAATAATTTCGTCGTTAACAATAATGTGTGGTGTTTATTGACCGTTAGTCAATGATTATTTGAAAATCGTGAGATGCGGTCTGGTGTGACGTAGATTTTAGAAAAACATTTTCTTTATCGTTACGATCTTTATTGAGGTCATCTTCAGTGCTCAAAGCGTTTGTTTTCTGTGTAGTTCTGTCATTCTTGTGTGTCGGGTTGAGAGTGACACTTGGATTTTTCTAAAACCCACATCAGACCGCATCTCACAATCTCCAAATAATCGTTAACGATAATTTGGATTTCGGCATTTCGTGATCCTAGACGGACACACTGAGTATGGGAAAACGCTGAGACACGTCTGAATCGTTTTTCAAGTCAACAACAACGACTTTTTTCAACGACAACCAAGCAAGAATGGGCAGTCCAAAATGATTGGTAACGACTAAATGACAAGAAGAATAATAATTAAACGGTTGTTGTATTTATAGAAAAGAACATTAACTTTCTATTATCACTGTAATTCAAAAACTCGTCTGACACAGCAACTCATAAAAGTGAAAATGGGCAGTCTAGAGTGATCAGGGATGATAAAACGGGTGTTGTAGTTATTGATTATTTTGTAAAGTCGGTTTTATAAAATTTGATCAAATTGAACTTAAAATAATTCAAATCTAATAAAAAATTAACAATAACAAAACAAACAAAAAATAAAATAATAACCCTCCCCTTATTTAACGGAGGAAAGGGCAGAGGAAAGATAAAGATCCTTTTCTAGTGAGATAAGGGGAGCAGTTCTTGCCGACATATGTTGAAACGCGGCTTATCAAGAAGAATCTCGTCCGTCCATTCCAAAGTGTAATTGCGAGGACTAACAAGAAGAGACGGGTGCATCGAAATAAAAGAAATTAAATTAAGCGAAAGGGGCGTGGGAATGACAGGATGGTAAAATTCATCGGGCCGTTCATAAAATAACCGATCGGAAATGGACAGAAAGAATTTTTTTTTGGCTTTCGTAACAACGTGGAACGTGTATAGTTTCGATTTTCCCCCCTACAAATCACTAGTCTTGCGTTTTGGCCGTACAGGAATGCGAGTCAAATTCAAATGAGAAAAGCCGGGCGGTTTGCCGGGCCCACATCCTCGTCGATAATTACTTTTTTACTCCCGCTCCCATGAAAAGCCCGGAGAAAAAATCTCGAGTCATGATTTTAATAGCGCGAATAAAATGCTCGCGACGTTAGCTAACGGGCCTAGGGTTTTTTTCCCTCTAGGAGAAATTCAATTCGCCGCCTTCTTTCATTTCAAAAATTTTTTCCCTTAACGGAAACACACTGATTATAAGTTGAACGCGGCTATAAAAGATAATCTAAATAGAAATTAAGTCATTTTTCAAATTATTTAAGGGGACCACGGTGGCCGAGGGGTGATTGACGGTCGACTCGTATTTACCACTCTAGCAGTTGTGGGTTCGAATCCCGGCATAGTCCATGAAAGTTTAAGTTAAAATTACTTTCAAAAAGCAGAAATGTATGGATTGATTCTCTCATCTGCGACGACACCCAACAAGTATTTGAACATTAAGATCCTTAATGAGGGGTAAATCATACATTTTGTTTTATTTCGTAAACAGTAGGCTTCATCACGGTTAAAAAATCAGAAAGCTAAATCATAAAAAACCGTTCCTCCTGAAAGTCTCTGCAGGTATAAATATAACGATAAAAGGATTTTTTTAAATAAATCTGCGCAATATTTAAGAAAAATAACGAACTTAAATGAAGATATTAACTTTTAATTATTTTTATCAGCTTATGCTTAATTACGTAATTATTCAATTATTTATACACAATTTTTTCAAAATGAAAAATTTGTATCACAGATGGGATTCGAACCCACGACTTTTGGCTAAATACGCCTCTGCTCTACCACTTGAGCTATTGTGTCTTCGATTGTCCATGCCACCAACTTCCCATTTCGACTCGCCGTTTTATTCCGATTGTAAGCAAATCGCGGCTTCATATAGAACACTTTTTATTAACAATTGTACTACTGAATCCCGTCTGGGACAAAAATTTTTCACTTCGAAAAAATTGTGTATAATTAATTGAGTTAAAAATGAAAATATTTTAAAGGAAAAAATATTTTAAAAAAAATGTTTTAGTTGCTTTAAAAAGCGCTATCAACAACAAGGTTATTTCAGCCCCAATAATAAAAAGATTTCAGCTAAATACACATACTTACTTACTCATTCTTATCTATGTATACTTCACTCTGGTAAGGTGTTGGAATGCTTGATATTCCTCCTTCACACTTTACACATAAAAACAACTGCAAATAATATAACTAGTTTAATTCTGTTAAACTACACTTTCACGTTTATATACACAAAAAAATAAACATGCAAAATTCGAAAGGTTGTAGCTTGAGATGGGGAGTTGGTGTCCGAATGGATCGAAGTCATAGCACAAGTGGTTATAGCAGCGGCGTATTGAGGTCGAAGGTCGTGGGTTCGAATCCCGATCGTGACACTAATTTTTTCATTTCAACCAAAACCTTACATAGAAAAATGAATTAATTGAAAGAAGTAATTTGGTCAATCAGACCACTAAATATAATGGGTTCATAAATACATTCTCGAATAAAAAATTTATATGTACAAGGACAATAAAAAATTTATATGTACAAAAACAATAAAAAATTTATATGTACAAGAAAAATAAAAATTTACACGTACAAGAACATAAAACATTTATATGTATAAGAACATCCCCTGTTTTCTACAAAAATCGGAACAAGGTGTCAATGATCAACTTGTTTTACCCGAGTATGATTTTTTCTATACGGAGCCAAGGAATAGCACCCTGTAATAATGTGTTACGCATTGAACAGCAGCAAAAAATATTTCTATTATTAATAATGATTTGAAGATCGTGAGTTGCAGCTGGTGTGACGTAGGTTTTAGAAAAACAGTTTTTTATAGTGCCGACGTTTCGTTCTTTATTGAGATCATCTTCAAAAAAGATCGAACCGTTGACACGATAAAGAAAATGTTTTTCTAAAACCTAAGTCACACGAGACGGCATCTCACGATCTCAAAATAATCATTAACTAACGGTCACTAAACACCACACATTATGAATAATGTTTTTATTATAGTTTCCAGCGTGCGTAGAAGGCATATCGAAAAATTATATAACAGAAAAGAGTGCAAAAGTATTGATAAATGGAAAAGTAAAGAACAGACAAAATCGTACAACCATAAATCTTTTACGACAAATTAGGTTTTCATTGTTCAGGGGATGGAAAAGATAAAAAATATTATTTATAGTAATCAACATCATTTAAAGATACTTTTTCTTAGCATCCTAACTCCTTGCCGAGGTTTTATGACATCCGACCCTTATTTGCCACGTTCGCAGTTCTGGGTTCGAATCCCTGCAAAGCTCTAGACTTTTTAATGGCACCACTTAGCGGGTAGTAGGTCTTACAGCCCTCATGTATGACAAAAATGACTTTACTTATACTTTTTATACATATTATACTTTTTAGCAAGACAAGTTTTATTTATTGTAAAATACAAACAATCGTGAATTAATTATTATGAAACCTACTACTTTTGATTTTGTGGTTCTTTGAATTCTTCAATATATAGATAAGATCCTAGTTCACTGTATTTCAAAAAAATTAAAATATTTTTTCTGAATTAAAATACTTGATTTTCCATCAATATATTTCTTCAATTTTCCTTGTTACTTTTTCTTATCTTTTTAATATACAAAATTGAACTTAATAGTCTCTAAAATGTGTACATTACATATGAATTTACAGGTTTATATGATTGAATATAAACACCCACAAAAATAATTAATAATTAATTATATAACTATATACATTGTTATCTTTTCTGTCTGCATTGAAATTTTTCAGTACAAAAAAGTTCAAATATATATGAACAACAGACGTTAATAAATTCAGCGATGGGCAGAGGTTGTTTGTCTGCTGTACTCATTTTCTACTTATTAGAATAAAGCCTGTAAAATATTGTAAAACAGAGGGCACGTGACAAGGGAAAGAGATTTTTCGCCATTTTGAACAATATCATTGGTTGCTCTTGTACAAATATTGATCAGTTCAATGGGGTTGTACCACCTCTGTAAAAGAAGCCGCGGGGGTGGGGGATTAGAAAATTATTAATGCGGCTTGCAGGTCCTTTGTAGAAAAGGGTGAGGAGGGAGGTGAGTTTAACAGATGTTATTAATGGGGTTTGTCCCGTGGAGGGAGAGAGAAAGAGCGAGACGGAGCGAGTCAAGGTGATATAACACCGGGGTGGTGGTCTCCTTGCGACATCTGACAAAACCAGAGCTAACTCACAGCGTCGCCTAGGTAACCAAGGGTTGCCCAAGAACTGGCTCACCCAAATTTAATTTATTGAGAATTTCTATCTCCGCCAGTCTTTCACTCCGGCATAAACGTGATGTTGAAATTATTAAGGACAAAGAAGGAATTGGAAATAAAATATAAAGAAATTAAAGCTGCTTTACAGTTCCGTTTTTCTGTTGTGAAACTTTACTTCAGATTCTTATCAAACTACGAATTTATTGTTAGATTTCCTCTGTAGAATGACGACTATGGTTTCGACTTCCGATCATTGTTCTGCCAATCTTCGCACAACAAAGAAAATTAAAATATTTAATGGAATGCATTTTTCCTAAGAGCTTTTCTTATATGTTATTAATGGTTGACGTACTGGCTGAAGATAGCGAGAATCAGAAATACGTTTGTAAGGCAATACAAGAGAACAATTATAGTAAATTAATTTGTTAAATTAAGTAAAAAGAAACCATTTGGAACTATAATTGGCGTTAAA